GCACTAGATGACCTTGTCCTGGAACTGCACAAAAGGTACTCAGTAGATCTTCTCCTCCCCACACAGTACATTGCTGAGATCGGTTTCTCTTAGAGACACAGCCTCAGTCTGATTTGAATTAGCAGCTGCAGTAACCAGCTACACACTGTGTGGAGGGAATTCGATCTCACCTATCTACCACATCTATGAATTGGTAAGTTGCAGTATATTAAATGCTTGCTTTGCACCAATCCACCTAGGTTCATATTCGAGCTGGATGCGGTGCGCTTTTGATGGCCAGTGAGATACAATTTTGTTCATGCAGTGCAGGTGCAATTCTGATGTGAATGTTAAAGTGTATGAGGCTGGAAATCGCACCCACACTGCACTGAAAAATTGCACAGGACCCCTTTTCAAAATCGCACTGAGGCAGGCCCGCATATACACTATAATGCCAAAAGTATTGGGACACCCCTCCAAATCATTGGATTCAGGTGTTCCAATCACCTCCACGGCCACAGGTGTATAAAATCAAGCACCTAGACATGCAGACTGCTTTATACAAACATTTGTGAAAGAAAGGGTCACTTTCAGGAGCTCAGTGAATTCAAGCGTGGTACCGTGATAGGTTGCCACCTGTGCAATAAGTCCATCCGTGAAATTTCCTTGCTACTGAATATTCCACCCTCAGCTGTTTTTGGTATTATAACAAAGTGGAAACAACTGGGAACAGCAGCAACTCAGCCACGAAGTGGTAGGCCACATAAAATGCCAGAGTGAGGTCAGTGTATACTGAAGCGCACTGTGCGCAGAAGTTGCCAACTGTCTGCAGAGTCAATAGCTAAAGACCTCCAAACTTTGTGTGGCCTTCAGATTAGCACAACAATAGTGCATAGATTAATGGAATGGGTTTCCATGGCCAAGCAGCTGCATCCAAGCTTTACATCACCAAGTGCAATGTAAAGCGTCAGATGTAGTGGTGTAAAGCACGCTGCCACTGGACTCTAGAGCAGTGGAGATGTGTTATCTGGAGTAACGAATCACGCTTCTCTGTCTAATAATCCAATGGACGTGTCTGGGTTTCGCAGTTGCCAGAAGAACAGTACTTGCCTGACTGCATTGTGCCAAGCAGGGGCGGACTGACCATTCGGGCTCTCGGGCAGTGCCCGAGGGCCCAGGGTCAGTAGGGGGCCCCATGAGATGCCCCTGGTACTGTTTCATAGGCTTTTTTGGGTGTGGTTTTAGTGTGGGTGAGGACACAGGGGCCCCATGATCCCCTATTGCCCAGGGGCCACATGAGTTGTCAGTCCGCCCCTGGTGCCAAGTGTAAAGTTTGATGGAGGGGGAATTATGGTGTGGGGTTGTTTTTCAGGGGTTGGCCTTGGCTCCTTAGTTCCAGTGAATGGAACTCTTAAGGCGTCCGGATAGCAAGTCATTTTGGACAATTTCATGCTCGCAACTTTGTGGGAACAGTTTGGGGATGGCCCATTCCTGTTCCAACATTACTGCGCCCCAGTACACAAAGCAAGGTCCATAAAGAAATGGATGAGCGATTGGAGAAACTTGATTGGTCTGCAGTCCTGACCTCAATCGGATAGAACACCTCTGGGATGAATTCGAGCGAAGACTGCAAGCCAGGCCTTCTTGGCTGACATCAGTGCCTGACGTCACAAATGTGCTTCTGGAAGAATGGTCATTCCCATAGACGCACTCCTAAACCTTGTGGACAGCCTCCCTAGAAGAGTTGAAGCTGTTGTAGCTGCAAAGGGTGGGACAACTCAATATGGAACCATATGGACTAAGACTGGGATGCCATTAAAGTTCACATGCGTGGAAAGGCAGGTGTCACAATACTTTTGGCAATATAGTGTATGTAAACGGGCCCTGCAGAAAAGCAATTTATTTCACGTGTTGTGTGTAATCTGCGCAATTCAAATCGCAATTTGTATATACCAAGGCTCTATGGCAGCATACATGTGGTAGAGTTGATGCCCACAACACATATCTCATGCATGCTGCCACATTGGCGCCAGGATTGTTTTTGGAGAAATATGGTAACACGTCTCAATGATTACAGAGCTTCTCTATTCTCTATTCCCTCAAACAGAAACCTAACACCTAGAAAAAAGAAAGAAGCAATGTCGCTGGCCTCCTAAGCTCAGCTTCTTTGTTCGTTTCTTTGAACGCAGTTTTCTCTATTTCCTAGAAAAAAAAATGCCTAAATAGAAAGTGAAAGTCATAGCTACCCAGCTGGCCGCCTCCTCACGTGTTTTCAGAGAAAGGGGAGGAGGGAGGGGCGCCGCTGATACAAAGAGAACGTGTCCCTCACTGGAGCTCAGAGGCGACGAGAGCCCCTCACTGAGGCAAGTATCAAGCTTGCTCTCTTTTGACTCGTGGATTGCACGTTGTAGGAGATTATGGTTTATATTAATGTTGGCCTCCCTAGAATTTATATTTGTGTGACCGTACCTGCGGAGTACACGGATTTCACTTCTTACGAGCGTGGTGGAATAGTTTTGTGCTGGCAGAAGCCGCAGGCAGCAGGTAAGGATTCGTACGCAGCTCAGTGTTGTGGTCCATTTAGTGCATTTGGTAAATCAGGTACGTTTTCGTTTGTCTTTTGTTCTTCGGTTAGCCAGACAATACACTCTCAGGTATCCAGATCAGCCAGGAGGATGCTTTGTTGTCTTTGGGTTGCTTTGCTTTACCTACTGACCTTGGTCCCAAACCCAGTCGTAGGATTCCTGGATACAGTACAGGCTATTCCATTGAATGTGCACATTTATTCCAGCCAACGAGCAGCTGTGGCAGTGTCACGTTACCCCCGACTTGTAAATGTTATATGCAAATGCATCTAAATAGATGTGAACAGAAAATAATGAATGGGCTTATCAGTGCACTGCAGATTTCACATGGAAATTTGGGATTCTGCATGTGTACCATTGCCGCTTTGCCACATTATTATCTGATTAAATTGATTCCTGATGTGAATGAAATACTGAGCTACTGAGTGTATTGTCAATGACCTTTCACAATACAATATATACTATGATCCTAGCACAATCATACAATGCTGAAATAACCAGATTCTGGGGAGTTTGCTGCTTTCCTGGTTTGGAGTCTGAAAGGAAATGCTGCGTACCCTTTTTAGAATCCCTTAGATGCTCCCCAAAGGATTCCATTTCCCCAGGTGCCACCATTGTGTGGTCAGAATGAGTAACAGATTGCTGCCAGTTGGCACATGTCCTAGAATGTTTAGTTGGGACAGTGTATGAGATAACTAGCAGTTTTCAAGTTACAATGGAACCACATATCTCAGTATATTATTCTTTCCTACTGTCTTCATACTCAGGGACTTGTAGTTCCACAACAGCAAAGGATCTGTGAAGTGCAGCCATCTTCTCTTTAGGATAATACACCCTGAAAAATGCACAGTACACTTATTTCTAAAGGAAACCTGACTGGCTTCATACATGCATTACATGTTGCAATCATGTGAGTTGTGAAGAGGAGTTTACCCCACTGTAAATAAATGGGCTGTCTTAATGTAACGCACATTAAAATGTAAAATACCACTTGTTAACATTTGTGTGGTAGTGTGAAAGGAACCTGAAATCATTTTAGCTTTGAAGGAGATCTCCTTAGCCCTGGGCTTGCGCCAGTATTTCATGAATGTAGCAATACTTAATTAAATTCAAGGGTGGATCCTCATCTAAACATCCATAATGTGGAATGTTTCTTTTTGCTTAGGGGTCATTGTTGTACACTATGCAGCTGTACAAAACGATTTCCAGAAAGCATACTCATTGCCAATATAGGTATTCATGGCAGAAAAACCTATTGCATATTTTCATAAAATAATGTTTTAACAGGCCTCAGTTGTGTAAGAGCATTTTTTCTCATCAATTGCTTGTAGGATTTTATTCAATACCTCAAACCAATGAACAATATATGAAATAAATCAAATCATAAATAATGAATAGCCTAAACAGTAAGATTTCAACAGTTCTAACTGGTTGCTTCAGTGTGTTGTAATTTGCACATTCATATATTGTTTATGAAATAAGCTGTGTAAGCTGTATGCAATGGAAGTTGGAAATAAAGGGAAACGTTGTGTGGATTTAACTACTGTAGGGGTTAATTATCAAAGTAGAACTTTAAATGACAAAGCTTCCAATAGACTAGAGCTATAGCTGGCACTGACCATTCAAAGAAACAACAATCTGCCTAAATGCTTGTTTTTCAATCAATGACTGCCTGCTAGAGTAGCAGTAAAAATGGCTGTGGGGAATTGTTTTCTGAGAATGCCTGCTTGCTTCTCAACCATTTACTGATGCAGTCAATAAGTGGAGACTACTTCTACCAGAAAGAGCTGAATTCTAAAATCCCAGGCAGAGATAAGGTCAAGTCAATCAGCAAAGATTTATTGAACCACACTGTCTGTACAAGACATTAAAACGTATTATTTTAAAGGAAGCAATTTACTGCCGACCAACTATGTCATAGACGGTAAGGGCTGAGTAACAGGAAAGAGGGGTAGCACTGACTTGCATTGTGTTTCAGAGGCTGAGTGTTCAGATTTACCATGAACGTGTCACTTACGGCTTACAGAGTAAAAATAGAAGCTGTTTTGCAAGATGAGTTGGTGATGGGAAATGAAGCTTTGTAATGTAGGTTGCCATTAAAAAGCAGACAGAGATGGCTACAGTTCACTGTTATTAGATCCCTTCTATTTTATGTATTTATCAGTTGTCACTCATCAGTTTAGAGTTTTTATATTTATTTGCAGTTTTTTAAATTTGGAAAGCACATGCAACATTATGCAAATGTGAAGTTATTTGTGACCTGAGAGGAAGGTATTGTGAATTTTCTATAACTGCATTGTTATTGCGTTCATTATATAATTTTATTGTTTAACCCAATCTTTGTCTTTGGATTTCTAGGGGAAAAGCAGAGGAAGTGCAGAACTGCTACTAAGAGGGACGCTATGGAAGACCTCATAGGTTGGTCTAGTCTATAGGATGGTAGCACACAACAAGGTGGAAGCAGATAATGCAGTTGCAGACAGAAGATCTCAACGCCTGGAAGCCTCAAACACAGATCGTTCCCAAATCCAACCTGCCAGAGCCATCTATAACAGCCCCAGACACCCCCTTCCTGCAGCACAGCTTGGTGATACACATTTTCGAACCTTCCGCTCTCAGTCGGATTTCACTGTTATTACCAGGACCAGCAATATGCTGGATGGTTGTGGTTTTTACTGGGGACCAATGACAGTCAATGTGGCACATGAAAAACTAAGGCAGGAGCCTGTGGGCGCTTTTCTTATCAGGGACAGTAGACAGAAAAACTGCTTTTTTGCTATCAGTGTTAAAACAGCTTCAGGACCCATCAGCATCAGGATCCACTTTCAGGCTGGGAGATTCAGTCTAGATGGCAGCAAAGAGTCATTCAGTTGCCTTTTTCAGCTAGTGGAACATTATTTACTTTCTCCTAAAAATATGATTGCTTTTCCTCTAAGGAAGGTCAGATTAAGAACTCTGCAAGAACTCTGTCGAAAAACCATATTGGCAACATTTGGGAGACAGAACTTGGACAGAATCCCAGTCAACAGAGTGTTAAAAGACTATTTAAAATCTTTCCCATTTCAGATATAACACGGCATTAACAACAAATGTAAAATGGACAAAGCTCAACTTTCTGGGAATATTTTTTATCCTATTTAATGGTTGTCAAGTTTATTTTTGTATCCGTAATCTGTATTTTGGGAAAAAATGTGAACACTCACCATTTAATGTTTACAAAACAAGACTATTTGCACAAGGTAAAAAGGGTTTCTCCTTTTCTGGAAATATATTTCTGCTGTGCAGAGATTTCTATTTTATTACATTTTAAAAGTAATACTTTTTATTAAAGAAATGATCAAAATAACTTAATTTGCATCTGATCATTTTATTTTGTTTAGTACTGCTAAAAAAAGTGCTACTAATAATAATACTTTGTTATGTATCTTGACATATGTCCAACAAACCTATGCTGCTAAACAATGAGCTCACAAAATGCTGCGTGCATCTTTTTTGTTGTGTTGATCAAACAACGGTGTAAATGGATCCTAAAACAAATTAGCAAAATGTGCCTTTTCTGGAACTTATATGTGTCATTCTAGCATGCAACTTATTGTTTGTGCATATGTAAAAGGAAACATCCTCTGTGTTTGCAACATCTGTTTGGCTCCATAGCGCAGAATTGCGAGCCTTTAGTGCAGCAATCGTGTTTTACTGTCACCCCTCATATTTCAGAAGCTCTCCGAAAAACATTGTTTCCACTAAAGTATTATAAAATACACTATTAATGGCATTTACACTAAAAGAATACACCAGTCTGAATAAGCCAGAAGGCAACCACATTGTTATATTGAGGCTGATTTATTAAATAAGTTGACAATCTTTACTCTTTAAATCTAGTGAAGATTCACTTAAAGTTCTGAATCATGTAAAAAGTAAATTCTTGATAATTACTTAGTCTGCATTATTGAGATGTAAAATGCACATAGCTACAATTTATTGAGTGAAGATTCTCACTTGACTTTAGTAAATCAGCCTCATTGCTCACTTCATATTTTTGAAACCCCTCATATACCTTTGTATGAATTAATGCAATTAACTTATAGCCCTTTGTATTTTGTTTAGGCATTATAAAACCTGTGATAGGACCTAAATGTTGAAAGATTTATTTTTATTGCCTATATACGAAAGGGTTTAATGCTGCAGGTTTGTCAGAGGGTTAGCCTCATCTTATCTATGTTGCTGAGCACGTTGCACCAACCAAGTCACTAAAATTGTCTAAGATCACCACCGGGCTAACATACACAACAATTTATGATATGTGGAAATAAAAGCATTTTATTTGAAACAAAAAGTCAGTGCAATGTTATAGAATAGAAATTTCAGAATGCAGGCAGCAAGATCCTCTAGCAACCTTTGCTTTATTAATAATAGTTGGTATTATAAAGTATTTGTGTGTTCTGAATGTGTATCCCGTGTACTGTACATGCTCTGATTGTGTTGTATGTCAGTTTTCTATATCGAATCGAAATCCGGACAAATTTTCGTTATTCGGGGAGATTCGGATGTATCCGAATTTCTAAATTACAATAGTAACGAATTTAAAACAAATCCGAAATGACAAAACAAAATTTTGTTCGAAATTCTAATCGAATTAGAATCAAATCCAAAATGAAATTGAATTTGGAAACAAATTCAAAATGTAAACATATTGTTGATTTTCTTCAAAGACTATGTGTGTTAGTATTAGAATATAGCCATCTTTTGAATTTCTTAAAGAATAGAATAGGAAAAAAAAAAAAATCGACAATATTTGAATAGAATAAATTAAAATAGAATATAGCCATCTTCCAAAACTCAAATTCCAAATAGAATAGAATAAAATAGAACAGAAAATAAAGGAATACAATATACACTAAAATAACAGAAAAAAATAGAGTAAAATAGAAAAGAATAGAACAAATAGAATAGAAAAAAATAGATTAGAACAGAATAAAATAGAAAAAATATAACCATTTTCTGAAATTCAAATTTAAAATTTTCAATAGAATAAGCTATTCCTCACAATAAATTTGGATCGAGTCAATATTTTCGATTCGAATACTTTGAATCCATTGGAAAAATTCAAATACGGTCTAAAACAATTAAACAAAATTAATTTTGTTACGAATGCAATGAAACGAAATTAGTAACTTAACTAATCAATCCAACACATTTTTTCATTCCACACATGTCTTGTCTAGTATATGTGTTTGTCTTCCCTGACAATGTGTGCATCTGACCTAAGCACATATATGTCAGCCCTGACTATGTTTGTGTGTGTGTGTGTAGAAGCCCTAACACTGTGTGTTTGTGAAAACGCTCTGATACTACAGGTTGCTTTACTAAAACTCTAGAGTGCAAAATCTGGTGCAGCTGTTCATGTTAGCCAATCAGCTTCTAACTTCAGCTTGTTCAGTTAAGCTTTGGCAATAAAACCTGGAAGCTGATTGGTGTCTATGCAGAGCTGCACCAGATTTTGCACTCTCCAAATTTAGTAAATCAACCCCTATGCATGCATTTACTTGCTCTGGCCTTTCGTGTGTCTGCCCTGACATTGCATGTGAATATGCATATGTGTATGGGTTTGTGTCTGCCCAAACAAGGTATAATTGGGTTGATTTCCTAAAACTGGAGACTGCAAAATCTGGTGCTGCTGTGCATGGTAGTTAATCGGCTTCTAATTTCAGCTTGTTCGATTAAGCTTTGACAATAAAACCTGGAAGCCAACTGGTTTCTTTGGAGAGCTGGACCAGATTTTGCACTCTCCAGTTTTAGTAAATCAGCGCCTATTTATTGTATTGTCAGTTCTAACAGAGTGTGTGTTTTGTCTGCTCTAACACTATGGGGTTGATATACTAAAGGAGTAAGCATATTCACTTGCAAAGAGATTTTTTTGCTTTGCACAGTAAATTTTAATTCACCTCGCAGTGAAACTAAGTGGGGAAAAAAGACTTTTCAAAGAATACCCAATTTGCTAATTAGGAAAATTTAAAAAAAAAAGATTTTGTTTGCATATGATTGGATAATTGAAGTGAGCACAGCTTCTCCTCAATTACTAAGCTAAGTGAAAGCTCCCTTAGCAAAGTGAAAGTTCCCTTCGCTTAATATAAAAAGAGAAGGTTTTCTCACAGTCACCCAATCATGTGCAAAAAATATATTTTTTTTTGCAAATGATATATATAAACACTATATTGCCAAAAGTATTGGGACACCCCTCCAAATCATTGGATTCAGATGTTCCAATCACCTCCATGGCCACTGATGTATAAAATCAAGCAACTAGGCATGCAGACTGCTTCTATAAACATTTTTGAAAGAATGGGTTGCTCTCAGGAGCTCAGTGAATTCAAACTTGGTACCGTGATAGGTTGCCACCTGTGCAATAAGTCCATCTGTGAAATTTCCACGGTCAACTGCTAGTGGTATTATAACAAAGTGCAAGCAACTGAGAACAACAGCAACTCAGCCACGAAGTGGTAGGCCACATATAATGGCAGAACGGGGTCAGCACATGCTGAAGTGCACAGTGCGCAGAAGCTACCAACTGTCTGCAGAGTCAATAGCTAAAGACCTCCAAACTTCATGTGGAGAGATTAGCACAACAGTGCGTAGAGAGCTTCACTTCATGGAATGGGTTTCCATGACCAAGCAGCTGCATCCAAGCCTTGCAGCAGCAAGTGCAGTGCAAAGTGTCAGATGCAGACCACTTCATCTGACACTTTGCACTGCACTTTGTGTAAAGCACGCCACCACTGGACTTTAGAGCAGTGGAGACGTGTTCTGTGGAGTAATGAATCACGCTTCTCTGATGGATTTGTCTGGGTTTGGCAGTTGCCAGGAGAATGGTACTTGCCTGACTGCATTGTGCCAAGTGTAAAGTTTGGTGGAGGGGGGATTAGGATGTGGGGTTGTTTTTCAGGGGTTGGGCTTAGCCCCTTAGTTCCAGTGAAGGGAACTCTTAAGGCGTCAGCATACCAAGACATTTTGGACAATTTCATGCTCCCAACTTTGTGGGAACAGTTTGGGGATGGCCCCTTCCTGTTCCACCAGTGCACAAAGCAAGGTCCATAAAGACATGGATGAGCGAGTTTGGGGTGGACGAACTTGACGCTTGCACAGTCCTGACCTCAACGTGATAGAACACCTTTGGGATGAATTAGAGCAGAGACTGAAAGCCAGGCCCTCTCATCTAACATCAGTGCCAGACCTCACAAATACGCTTCTAGAAGAGTGGTCAAACATTCCTGTAGACATACTCTAAAACCTTGTGGACATCCTTCCCAGAGGAGTTGAAGCTGTTATATAGCTGCAAAGGGTGGGACAACTCAGTATTGAACCCTATAGCTGCAAAGGGTGGGCCAACTCAATAATGAACCCTACGGACTAAGACTGGGATGCAATTAAAGTTCATGTGTGTGCAAAGGCAGGTGTCCCAATACTTTTGGCAATATAGTGTGTGTATATATATATAATTTTTTTTTTACCTACTGTCACTAGAGCAAGTTCAGTGTCACTATGGTGATACTCAGTGATCATCAGAGACAATGGCTGGCTACAATGATATACAGTGTCATCAAAGCAGCAAGATATTGTACATGTTCACTGCCACAGCAGTACAATGTCACCAGACCAGTGCAGTCAGCTCAGTATCCCCAATCACCACAACAGTCCCAGTGTCACCACAAAGCCTCATTCACATGTGTGGTTATCTCTAAAGAGTTGTTGACAAGTGACATGCGATGAGGAACCTTATATTGCCTCCACACTGCCCATTTTAACCCCTTGAACTCTGCACAAGCATAACTGGGTTGTGAATGGTGGGCTCTACACCTGCCGAAAAAGACAGGGATATAATTCATGCCATGGCTATGAAGCAAAGCATCAAACTCACGGCATGAGTACACCCCCAGCCACTGCCTCTGCAACTAAAAGAGGAATTGGTTGGGGGTGGTAAAACCACTGCTCAACTGTAAGATTTTACCACCACCCAACCTCACATGAGAAAGAGCCCTAAAATGCAGCCAGTCACAGTGTCCCCAATAACCGCCACA